TATAACTGTACTAATAATATATTCCTGTTTGTGCTATTAAATATTAACTTCAAAATATTAAAGAAACTCTCAAGGTAACGACGTTGCTGTAGCCTCATTTTTCTTGCCTTTAGAAAAAGGACATACGGAAATTGAATGGCAGGAACTGTTAGCAATGGAGAGAATGAAAGTCACTGCCCATGTTCAACAATGTTGGAGTCTGCTCCGGTGCACTGTAATTACAGCACATCGGAGCAGCCTTGATGTACGTGTATAAGCACCCCAAATACTTAAATGACACTTTTAACAAGAGATCAGCCTTTTAACAATGTGGTGGAAAGTGATCAAAATTAGAGATAACCTACAACCACAGGGTCCACAGACATTTGAGGCCCACAGTTCTCTCTTGTGCCTGATTTTAATACAATTGGGAGGCTTACAGCTCATACAAAGATAACCTAGTATGTGCTAGGAAAAGAGAGGGGTCACAGTGTTTAAGCACTTGTAGAGCAGGTCCATATTCTTTGAGCAACCCTGCCCTTACCCTTTCCAATCACAATACAAATAGCATTAACTTTTCCTTCTCTTTACACAATTTGTGAAGCTACATTATAGAGTCCCCTGTGTAAGGGAGGTAAGTGAGCTCACCAGCCATTCAACAGTCATATTATTAACTATATCACCAGATCTATCACCAATTCAATTCCAGCCCTGCAATGGAATCCCAGCTAATAAGCAGCAGTATTAGGGTGGACAAAGGTGATGGCAGTGTATAATATAGCCATTATTACGCCAGTAGGCAAATGCAGGCTTATTGATAACAAGCCAATGAAACAAAGTAAGTTATGGCTTGGAGTTTATAAGAGTGGATGCCCAGTGGAACCACTCCCTACTGGGCAGTAATGCAGCATAAGGCATGGCTTTGATTGCACTATAACAGCAGAATATCCCCAATGTGAGAGGAGGAAGAACAACAGCTATGGGGCCCGTCCAACACTCTAATATAATTTAAGGAGGCATTTTGAGGAGATGGACCATTAGAAGACAAGCTGAAGCTACAACTCAACCTCTACATGCAAACCCATGAGACCACTGAAATGCTGTGAGTTGGTAATGCCAATGATGGCGGTGTTGGCAAGCCTGCAACATTATATTAGCATGTAGTAGATCGGAAGTCTAATCATAGAAGGAAAACCTCATTCACAGAAACAGGTCCACTGTAGACCACAGTTTACACATCCTGTGAGGATGAGCTAGAATATACACAAATCAGTCATTTTAACAGGTGGCCACTGTGCAGCTCAAACTTTATTGCTCTCAAACTAATTTAGTCATGTGCATTCTTTATTTGTATGACACATGTCAACATTTATAGGAAAAGAATGGATGAGATTATTTTTATACTAGACACAGGGGTTTTTTGCTTTATCAGTCCCTAAAATAGCTAAATAATTCTCAACTTCAGAATAAAGAATATTAAAATCACCTCTCCATTGAAATGAAGCATCTACTACAATTTGGAAAGTAGCTGTTAGAAAGCTCAGTCCTAAATGTAATTGTTCAGCAAACTAATCTGTTCTTGTTCACTATCATGCAAATACTATATTTTATATACACAAACATGTAAAATGCAAAAAAACCTATGTAGCAGAACACTAAGATTTAAACACGCTGTTGGGTAGAAATTCAGATCTTTATTAAAGCAAAATTAGCATTGGTTCTTGGAGAGGCATCATGCATTTGCTTAATCTGTAAACTCATGGAAGCAACAGTGTTGTAGATTGTTTAGCTATTGCTATAAAAGGCAAATTTTACTCTATCATATCTGAGACAGAATTACCCTTTATTTTTAATCCACACTCTCAAAACATGGACAGTTAACTGATGTTTATAAAACTTTCCCAAAGAACTCATTTCTGGGCTGAAGCTTATGATGAAGCATTTCATTTCAAGTGATAATTGAAGAAAATTAGGAAGGACTGAAAAGAGTGAGAGTGAGCATGGAAGAGCTATTTTACTCTTAACTGTGGTATAGATATAGAATAGCTACCACAATGCAGTTATCATTCTTACAGTGGCTTCTCCCCCATGCATAGCCAAGCACAGCAAACAATATATTGTAGGTGCCACAAATCAGGAGGGAAAGTGACAGTGCCTGCATAGTGCCAAATGGAAGTAACAAAATGCAGGAAACATTTTGTCAAATGTCACTTAGCAGTGATATCATAGGGGTATCAGGGAACGGGATTTGCCTGCTACTAGAAATACCTTGGTCAATAGATGGGGAGAAGCAGAAATAGTAAGTGAGGACAGAGCCTAATCTTGGCCTGTTGATTTAAAAGGAAAGATTGCTCCAGTCTAACTTTATCTCAGGGAGAAAATGCATGATTTGACATGTTATCATTTTACTGATCAGGCTGAATCTTTCATTGACTAGGTCGATTTCTGTCTCAATCACAAGACAGACAGACAAATATGACTAGTAGGAGTGCCCATCTATGAATTCTAATAGAAGTAGTGCAGAATGTTACTCTGATAGTCCAGGTGGTGACCCCTTCAGGGTGACTTCAAAGAAACAAATGGTCTGGCAGAATGACATTTTGTAACAAAATAAGTGCTTATATCAAATGAGTTCCTGGAGACAGATATATTCTGGTGCTTAACATTTTTTTAGCCCCCAGATAAAGAAGAGCTCAGAACATGCATATATCTATTTTGCAGAGTGTTCAAAGATGGACAGGATGGCAATCACTACTCTGACATTCTGATCCAAATCCCGTTGAAATCAACTAAGAGACTCTTGTTAATTTCAACAAGGCTTGGATTGAAATTTGAGAAATACTTCAGATGATGCAAGTCTCTAGTCTAGGTTAAGAACAGTGCCATGGTGTTAAAGCTCTGATTCCAATTTTACTTAAAATTCAAGGGAGTTCAGATTACAGCTTTGGTTTCTCTGGTTTAAATGAAGAGATATCAGATCATAGAGACTTCAGCATTTTACTTAATTCAGGGATGTCTAACTTCAGAGTAGCTGGGGGCTTCAGTCCCCCTGGCTATGTACCACATGGGCCACAAGCTCCCAGGGCCATAAGAGTGGGCCACACACCGCACCATACCACATAGATCACACTGTATTAAATCAGGTCAGGTGAGAATTTCAAGAGGTTGTGCATTGGTTAGAAATAATTAATTATCCAGTTGAGCTTTTTTCTGCTAGAGAAATGGAGTGGGTACATGCTTTGGCTAGCACAATGGATACTTTAGCTTTTTTTGCATTTGTGGATCCTCTACCCACTCTTAATTAAGATCTGTAGTTCCACTACAAAGTTATTGGCAGGTGATAGGTTTTTCTTCTGGGATGGTTGACACACTGGATTTATAACATTTTCAGCTTTTGCAGGCTTCATGTAAGTGACCTCCAAAATCAATTTCAATGTTAGGGTCCATCAAAAGGCCCCGAACTTTCATGCAAATAAGCACCACACCCTGGATTAACTGCTGGCAAGATTGAGCACATAGATCTCCTGTGGTGATATATGCTCTGAGCTGTCATGCCAATCACTGAAAGTATATTTAATTACAAAATATCACAGATGTTTTCATAGCTAAATGTAATTTCTTGAAGGCATTACATTTGAAGACAGAAGATTTAAAAAAAATCTTAGTTTGGAATTTTAATCTGTTTTCTTAGAATAGAGGACTCTCTGTATGCCAGGGGGAAGAAAGGCTACTTTACTGATTCACCTGATTTGGACTTCTTGTTCTTATGTGGTCTTTTAAAATAAACTACTATGGAAGGGACCGGGCTAGAAGATCTACTAGGTCCCTTCCGACCCTAAATCTATGAAACTATGAAATCTATGAAACTATGAATATTATCTTGTGGTTGAAATCCAGAGGTGTAGTTACTTACGTTTGTAACATGCAATCAGGTATAATGTATATTTCTGGGATGGTGTTTTCACATATTTGATTTTTAAGTGATATTCTGAGCAATCCCCATCTACTCATCTATTGAGCTGTAGCAGCTAGTATTCTAGTAGTATGCATATTGCTCACTGTATGCAACAATACTACAGAAATACATCAGAAATTGATGCGGTGATATTCAGGAAAGCACAACAAATAAAAAAAAGATATTTGAATGAAAAGGAATGAGCTTCCAGGTTTGATATGTGAGAAAAATATCTTGCAGGTTAAGCTATATTTCTAACATCACTATAACTTGATCTTCCTATATGAAATAGATCTCTCTATTCATTTTTGTTGTACCCTACAGCTCTACACCTTTACAGAAGACATGTCTCTTGTTTGCTCTTTTTAAAAAAATGCAGTATCAGAAAACAGGGCTAAATTCTTCATTGCATTATTCATTGTTATTAATCTGTCTCGCTCAATGATTGTGGTTTAATGGATGTGATTGTGACCCGTTATCATTTATGTTTGTTCATGTGTATGCAAGGGCTTTGCAAGGTAATCTTTAAAATCACAGAATAACAGAAAAGGTGGGGCACAAAAGGGCGATGATAATTTGCAGTTTTCAATATTCCAAGTTAATCCCTTCATACGCTGATCTCTTTACCTACTTCTGTGCAGCAGCTAGTTGGTATTATTTTTTATACAGTAGAATCGCATGCTAGCATCTAGAATGCAACTAGAATACCTGTTGTCCCCCAGCCTAAATACATTTACATCCATGAGCCAGGTACATTCAGCAAGAATGAAGTAAATAAACTGTTAATTAATTAGTCACTAGGGGATCATTTACTGTGGGCTTTTATTAAAAAGCATACTTAAGGAGGAAGGAAACTTGGTAATATATAGAAATACCAGACAAGCACATTATTGCTGACTTCCATGTACTTCTTACATCTAAATAGTTGCTAACTGCCAGGTGATTAAACCTGGAAGTTTGAGTTCTGTATTGATGCTGTCGTCAACACTATGAGCTTAATCCTTGTTCTGGATCTGGCTGTTTTCTGTGCTCCTGAGTTAGTATAAAGCACCCAGAAAGCTGCCTTGAAGGTGCAGCTGAGGATTATCCGTGACACAAGAAGTGCCAGGGGGCATACAGCTGGTGTAGGCCTGCTGGATCGCTGCAGTCAGCATAACTGAGAGAAGCTTTGGGCTTGAAGGTCCTGAAACACAGGCACTCAACTCCCACGGGTAACAATCAACTTGAAAAATGAGCACGGTTGTTGTCATCCCTGCTGCCAATCTCAGGTAAAACATCATAAATGGATGGAACTGAAATTTTCATAGTGTCAATGCCCACTGTAGGATGTCTGCAGTGTTGCTCTTTATATTATTTAAAAGAATAGCTAAACACCTTATTTAGCAATTTTTTATGTTGTCACAGGGAATCTCAGACTTCATACTGCACATGGTTTTCCTTCACAGTAAGAGACTTTTTGCCAACATACAAAGTTGACCATACTCGATGGTTTTCCTAAGGTCGTCTCAGAATGCAAGATTACCAGTGTGTGATGGTCTCCTCTTCTATTTGTTTCCAATGTAAGATCTGGGTGCTGGTTCTTCAGCTTTGCCACCTAGATAGTGCTGACTGACTGTAACTAGCTGAAAATGTTTAGACGCTGCAGAGAGTGCCATGTAAAGCTGAAAAGCTGCTAAAAGTCTGCTTCATTTAAGCAATGAGAGTGTAGGGAAATATCCACTCCAAATGTCTGAATTAGGATGGAGCCCTGACATACACTTTTGACAAGGTTTGGATATGGACCATGAGGCATTAAGCATTTATGCTGCAATACAGGATTACTCTAGTTAAAGCTGGAAACTTCTATCTAGATTTCTCTCCTGAAGTTCTTTCTTTGACAGGGAAAATTAAAAAAATATCCATAAACGTCAGCATTTAATGTGTGCTATTATTAAAAGTGATCTATTCGTTAATGCCTCACCATATTCTGAATATTTACTTACTTAAAAATTTTCCCTCATTGGATCAACTTAACTGGACATATTGAATTAAGTTTTGAGGTATCTCCCGGGGAACAAACAGTTGTACAACTTTCTTTCAGGTACAGTGCAAAAACTCCTTTAGAGGAGGTAACCTGTATTGTGGACAACATTAATTTTGAAGCATAACATTTTCGGTTACTTTGTATAAGATAACTGAAAAAAAAGGAGGCGGATAAGGACAGGAAACTGAAAGATTTATAAACACCTCAACAGTAGTATACTTTTTCAAAGAAACCCATTACAAGTATAGGTGCTAGCCTTATGACCGTGAATTACTGTGTAGTTGCCAATGCCAAAATAGGCCAAAGGTAAAATGTGATTTAAGTATTTTTTATATTAGTGCTAAGATAGTGAGAACCTTCTGAAAAACACTGCCCGAGATAAAATCACATACTCCACCCCTGTGGTTAGTCAATCCAGAGCCAGCTCATAGAGGGGGTAGCTGGCAGGGTACTCTCTATGGGGGGTTGGGGACACAGGAACTTGCTCTTTCCTTGATCTGAAGTAGTCTGCATTTAGTATTTATAGCTGGCTACAAAGGTACCTGTTTGAGAGAAGTTTTGGAGGAAGCAAAGGAGCTTTTTGTTGGTCGTTGTCTGATTTCCTGTTTAAAATCATTATTTTTCATGCTGAGCTCATAGTATTAATTTTGTATTAGAGCACAATAACGGGGACTTGTTGCTTTAGTTTATGCTTTTACTGAAGTGTAAAATAAATACAGAAATAGGTTGTGGCATAGCACAATAGTGTTCTGAACCACTGGCTGGGACTCCCACAGCATGACCAGGACACAAATAAATACTGAATAAAAATGTTCAACGGTGTCCAATCCTGCACTTACTTCAGTCAGCAATACAATTTTTGTGCCCCTGGGCTCAGCAAATACACACTGTGGTATATGCAAAAACACTGCGAGTGGCATCCACATGCACCATTTGTGTTCTGTTTGTTTTATACCCTACAGTTATTAGTGGATCCTATAAAGACAGGGCAGGCACATTATTTATAATGTCTTCAAGAATTAAAATATATTTTACAATAACTTGTTTACATTTCTTAATGTATCAGCTAACTATCTTACTTAATACACATTGCTTTTATAAATTTCTAGATATTTCTAATGAAGCTTATACTTAGGAATCTTACACAAACTCTTGCTAATAAACAAAGTCATTATTAACCATGACTTCCATAAGGAGAGATAACAAAACCAGCATCCTAAGTGCCTTTAGGGCTAATTTATCATCGGTAAACACAAGAAGCTATGTTAAGGTAAAATGCATGGTCAGCTATTAAGTTTAACATGTCTTTAACAGTAGTACAATGACATATTACATTTATTGCCAAACAATTCTTTTCGTATCACGGGGTGATGAGAAAATAATTATAATTAAATATTAGGTGACTGGAACAGCGATTGCAGTTAATCCATTATTCTTTTGTCAACTATTTTGGGGCTTTCACAATTAATCTAAAATACAGTTTACAATAGCTGGAATTTTAGCAAATAAATAGAGAACCAAAGCAAATTACCAATGTCTTTCAATTAAATCCCTTTATTGTATACACTGAAAATAAGTAATAATAATTTGGTCTTTATAACAGTTATCATGAAACAACAAGCATTTTATGTGAAGGTTTTAAATACTGTGGGTGGCCAGCAATCTATGAAAGGCAATGGCAAAACTCCTATTCACTTCAGTGGGGCCAGGATTTCACCCTCTGGTTCTAGCCCAGCACTACTTACTAAGGCAGCTTTCCACTGACCCTGATAAGCTTGAGTAAAGTCTGTGGGACTTTTGCTGATTAAGGACTGAAAGTTTTGGCCCATGACAGAAAGTCAAAATACAACATTAGATTTCATTACATTTTTAAATTAAAGCAACTTACATTTGGAGTCAGATCTTGCCAGACGACAAAATTGTTAAGTTTGGGACTATACAAGGCCACTCAGGCTGCTGGTTCTTGGATTAGTGCTGCACAATACACTGTGAAAGACTTATTACTGATACTCAGATTCAGCCTTTCACACTCCCAGTGCAGGCTCTGACTGGGACACAGCGTTGTGACAAGTGAGCTCAACCAAGTGGGAGGAAGAAGAAACTTAGACCATTCGGCAGTGACGCCTATAGCTGCTGTTGAAGTAAGTTGATGGGCTCTGTTAGGAGTCCATTTCGCTTCTCATCAGCTGGAAAATCATCATGACATGGAGTTTGAAGCCAAAAGGACGAGAGAGCCTGTAATCATCACTAACATGCACATGAGATATTTGCCTCCATTTATATGCTTTTTAAATCTTTATATTAGCTTTTCTTTTTCTTTTGCTGCAGTTCAGGTTTATATCTGTCAGGACAATAAGGACTGGATTAAGTACATTAATTGGCTATGCTATGCATGGTCCTTGCCTTCCCTGACAGCAATTACCATTGTTCTGTGCATCACGTGGCCATACAAATTTCATTAAATTAAGAACTGACTGATTCAAGTCCTAATATCCCTATACAATTTTTAACTAGACCAAAATACGTTTTCCCATATGCAGTCTATACAAAAACCATGTAAGAAGTCAAAGAAGTGATACCTGGAGAGTATGTCACTAGGAACCTTGTACACCTCCACGTTGCCCACACTGCAGAACATAGTGCAAGCTTCAAACAATGGAGTTGTACCTGGCTGTGAGATTCAGCGAGCAATTAGCCAATAGAAGAAACCAACCTTTTCAGACCTGAAGATTAGCCTTTTTTTTGCTTTATTTAGCACGAAGCTAAGCAGTAACGTGTCACTTACCAGGAAGTGCCAGGCTGAAGAAAATGGTGGCTCAGTTCCCAAAGATGCTCATTAATGATTTTTGTTTGTAACATACCTGGTTATCTTGGCAAAGGGAAGGTACTTCCTCCAGCTGTCTGAGGATGCCATCTTTTATAGTCTTAATATTTCAGCTTAATGTCTCTTTTTTAAAGCCCTTGCTTGACCATCAGATCCATTGCTGATAATATTCAAGCTGTATACCTTGGAATTGTGCCTGCAGAGAGGGTAGGGACAGCTCTAAGATGCATCTCCCTGGTTAACGTAATGAATGAATCTGTCAGTCAGGAGGGAAAGAGCCCACCCCTCGTAAGAAATATAGACAGGCTCCTTGACCACGCTTGGGGAGTCCCTCTGACATCACTGATGGTTGCCCAATTGCCATAGATGGTAGCTGGACTTGAAGGAATGACAGATGGCCTGATGGGAGCAGCATGCGTAGAATGCCTCATGTGACACTTCACAGGTGTGGCTGAGGGGGAAACAGTTTTATCGGTTGCTATGGAATCATGATTAGCTAGTAGGTCTTCAGAGGCTGTCAGAGGCCTGCTGAGGAGAAATGAAGGCTATTTTTTAAATAGATGTCATGAAATCAATCCTTGAAGAACTTCTGGAGTCAAAGGCTAAAAAGGTTTGCTTGAATATCTTATGTTACTCGATATACAAATAAATCTAGCTGTAAGACGTAAAATGGGTGTCATTTTTCAGCTGTAGTTGATCACAAGAAAATTTCGTCTCATTTAGAATTGTTTATGTACATAGTAACGGAGCAACAGTATCTTAGTAAATGCAACAATTTGTCTCCGCATAAACCAAGTAAATGAAATTAACAAAGCAGTATTGCGAAGCACCGTGACTCCAGAGGAAACTTTTCCCTTATTCTCTCCGTTTGCTAAACGAAAACCCAATGTTCTTCTTTTAAAACGTGTCTGCCTCTAGGTCTTTGGCACAGGGTTACTGAAGGGAGGGCCGGCAATCTATTTAATGACTGCATTGACGTCAATAGCATAACTGAAATACTTACTAAGATGCATGATTCCAACTTTCAGGGGGTGTGTGTTTCTAGCCAGTATGAATATGTGAAATGGATTTCTTCTGGGAACGAACTGCTCTGTTAAGAGCAGCAGACAAAAGCTAGGGTGTTACCAGAGGCTTTTGAAGGTTACTCAGTCAGTCTCTTCCTTCATGCAGAACAAGTTTTAAAGTTTACTGGGGACACAGTGAACAAATATTTAATTCCTGTCAACAGCAGAACTAGTTTACTCTTTCAGCATTTTAGACTTTACCCAATCATAAGAATTTCTCATACAAAGTAGGCTGTTTGCTTGCCAAAGAGCCAAAGTTTTTTATTAAACCATTAAGCTGTTTTATGTAATCTTTTAAAAATATAATCATATATAAAAACAAATGATGTACTATTTTCACAGAATTCTTTAGGTTGG